ACCACGCCAACATGGGGCTGCATCCCCATCAAGGACATGCACACACCGTGGCGCTCAAAAGGAAGGGGTTTGGTGAGTATGCTTGCTGCTTGACGGTTGGTTAGGCACCACCGCAGGATCACCTCGCCGCTTGCCACCATCTCCCTGATGAAATGCCACCGAACCTGCATGTGCTTGGTGCGGCCATGCAAGCATGCATCACTAAAGCCCACCAACTCAACCTGACGCTTGTTGTGTGCGGTGTAGAAGATACCTGAATTGACACAACCTTTCAGGTACCTTAGCACTCTCTTAGCAGCCTGCAGGTGAAATGCCTTGGGACAAGACACCACCTTGGACAGCTGTGATACTGCACAAACAATTTGGGGTTGTGTGGTCATGCTTGCATACATGATAGACCCCACAATGCTTTGATGGAGCTGGACTAGTTCATCTCTCAGCAAGGGCTCATTAGCATGTACATGCACGTCGAACCCTGTAGAAAGAGGGGTACACACGGGTCAGCCTCAGAAAGGCCAAAGGACTCAAGCATGTACCTCTCCTGATGCCACTCTCATCACGCTCGATCTGCACCCCCAAATAGTACTTAGCCTCCCCCAAGTCCTTCATGCGGAAACGAGAGGACAAAAGGCTCTTGACCTCGTCCAACAAGACCATTCTCGAAGACATGAGCAGAATGTCATCCACATAGAGGTAGAGGGACAACCTGCCCTCACACCTCACCAAGTGGTACAAGGCGGGGTCACACTCCGACCTCTCAAAACCAAACTCCATCAAAGCCTCATCAAACTTGAGGTACCACTGCCTCAGAGCTTGCTTCAGCCCATAGATTGATTTTTTGAGTCGGCAAACCCTGCCAGACCCATCATCAAAACCAGGGGGCTGCCTCATGTAAAGCTCCTCCTTCAAGACCCCATGAAGATATGTAGTTGTCACATCCATGTAATGGATGTGAAACCCTGAGGAGGCTGCCATCCCAAGGGAGCCTCTCAGGGTAGTAGGCTTACCCAACGGGGTAAACACCTGGTCATAGTGAACACCCCGTGTTTGAGTGTTCCCCATGGCCACCAACCTGGACTTAGGCCTCTCAATGCTGCCATCAGCCTTGTGCTTATACTTCCACACCCACAGACACCTCAGGACCTCCATACCAGGTGGCACCAGAATCCCAGCCACTAATCACTGGGATAAAAAGGCTTGTTTGTGTAGCGGGTGAGTGCGCCCATAACCCCCCAGGCCAACGTGCCTGTAACCCTTCCCTAGGATCAATCGGGGATCTCCAGTGGACCTCTGACACCCCCTCGCACTGGGATGCCCGAGGTGCACACACCGGGATTCGAACCTGAGACCTTCGCTCTGATACCATATCAGAATCCCAGCCACTAACCACTGGGATAAAAGGGCTTGTTTGTGTAGCGGGTGAGTGCGCCCATAACCCCCCAGGCCAACATGCCTGTAACCCTTCCCTAGGATCAATTGGGGATCTCCAGTGGACCTCTGACAGGTGGCACACTAGCTGGATCCACCAGCTCAAAAGACTCGTTCACCCTATGTGACTCAAGTTCCTCACGCATGGACTTGACCCACCCAGGACGAGACAAGGCCTCCTTGACAGACTTTGGCTCATGCACCTGACCCATGAGACAAAAATCAAGCCCAAGCTTGCCCCCCTCAGCATCCACAAGCATGCACTCCTCCAAATCATGCACCTCATGATCATGCATGCAAGCATACTGTGCACTTGGTGTGAACCTTTCAGGTGGCCGGGAGATGCGTGTGGTGCGGTGCTGAGGTGATGCCTCCCCCTGCTCCAAACTTTGCAGCTTCTCCTTCCAAGTCACTCTCTTCATGGGGGACCGTGGTGACTTGGACAGCTGCTGCTGCAATAGTTGCTGCCACCTTCCCACAGGAACAGGTGGTGTATGCTGCTGAGGTGACTGCTGCGGCTGCTCTTGCTGCTGCTGCTGCGGGTCATGGGCTGGTTCGTTAGGGTCAAGGGTGGAACCAGCAGTTGGGGAATCCTCATGGTGAGGTGCAGCTGCCTTGTGTTCCTCCTGCTGCTCCTCTACCTCCTCTCCAGGGTCCTCCCATGTCCCCTCAAAAATGGAAGAAATGTAGGGATCCTAGAGGGAACTCCCAACCGTACTAGTACCATGCTCCTTCCACCCCTTGTAGCTCAACCCCTCATGGAAAACCACGTCCCGGCTTTCCACCACCCGCTGATCTGCCACACTCCACAACACCCATGCCTTGCTCCTCTCTGACACCCCAAGGAAAATGCCCCATTGTGCCTTGGGATCCAGCTTCCTCCGTTGCTGGTCGGGCACTTTACACTGCGCCATGGACACACTAGGCACCTTCCTGGTCCACATGAAGTATGGGCTCTTGCCCCCTAGCCCCTTGCTGCCCATCCAGTTAACCCAGTTGGCATATTGCACTGCTGCCCCCCACCAAGTATGGTCCAGCTGCGCATGAGCAAGCATGGCTCGGGCAAGGTCAATGAGGGTCCGGTTAAGCCGCTCCGCTGCCCCATTTTGCTGCGGCGTTCAGGCAACTGAAAGCTAGTGGGTGATGCCCTTATCCTCAAGGAAAGACTCCAGATCCTTCCCCATGTACTCCCCACCCCGATCAGACCGTAGTGTCTTAACCTTGGCCCCGGCTTCCCTCTCCGCATAGCGTATCCAACGCTTGAACACCTTGGCCACCTCATCCTTGGTTTTCACCAAGGTGACCCAACTGAGGCGGCTGTAGTCATCTAGGAAGGTAATAAAGTATCTGCTGCCCTTCTCCCTATCCAATGTTTGCATAGGGCGACATATATCCGTTTGCACCAACTCAAGAGGTGCGGAGGCTCTAGTGGTGGAGGTAGGGAAAGAGGTCCTTGGCAGCTTCCCGGTCGTGCAATCAGGGCACTTGCTTGGCTGCCCACCACCCTCCTTGATCTCCACACCCTTCAGCTCCCCCTTCTTCACACACTCCACAAGCTGTTGCTTTCCCGCATGCCCCAAGCGTAGGTGCAGCAAATCCGCCGTCACCTGCTCCACGTCCTTCCAACGGGTGCTGCAAGCGGCATCCTTAGCTTCAACCCCATATGCCTTTTCCACTTGAGGCACACACACCGGAACTAGGTATAGACTCTTGTCTAACTTGGCCTCCATCACCACTGCTCCACCCTTGCGAACCGTGCACCCTTCCAAAGTGAAGGTGCATATGTACCCTTGTATAGCAAGCTGAGAGCATGAGAGAAGGTTGGCTGCCAATCCAGGAACATGAAGCACACCCTTCACATTCAGCACCTCCCCCTCCTCCCCCTTAATGGTGATGGTGCTGATGTCGATTGCTTGCAGCGCCGCTCCCCACAATCACATTTCTTGAGTTAGGTAGGAGGGAGTGATATGTGGTGAAGAGGTCACGCCGAGGTACCATTCCACCGGCTGCCCCAGAGTCTAGAATGAGCTGATTGGGGTCAGCCAACGCACGACGAGCAAGCGCCGTCTCTTTCTCCAAAGATAAGAAGGAGAAACCATAATCTGATGAGTCCTCCTTTCCCTTCCCACCCCATCATTTTCTGCCGCTGCTGATGCTTTTCTCTCCTCCCCTCTCTGATCCCCTCCTCCCCTCTCTCATCCCCTCCTCCCCTCTCTCATCCCCTCCTCCCCTCTCTCATCCCCTCATAACTGCGACGGGTCAAACACCGACTCTCTGTCGAACCCTTGCTCCCCTCGGTCCCTCACGTCCCCCCTTCCTTCTCCTCATTTCCCCCCTCCAAACCTATCATTCCCTCTCCTCCTACAGCATCTTTCACCCTCTTTTTTAACACCTGCTTCCCATCTTTGGCCCCCCTTGGACACCCACTTCTCCTGCTAGCACAAGGACGCGGGACATATGCTTTACGCCACCGCTCCCTCGGCAGCGAATTTTGGGTTTGAATGTGTCGTGAAGGGTCTGTTTCCACGCCATCATGCCGATAGCCGCGATTCTCGCTCGGAGCGGGACTGAAGTGTACGGTTGTAATTTTCGCACCCAACGCCGAGCAGGAAGTGCAGTGTACGTTTCTTCGTTACTGCGCGCACAGCCGGGTTTCTTGCTAAGATCAGGAACTGCAGTTAGGGTGTGCAGCCGGCAAGTACTGTGCAGTTAGGGTGTGCGCCATCGCAATCGTCATGGTAGGCCTTCTCAACGAGGGCGCCTCACCACCTTATCGCCACATCGCCGGCACATCGTCGCCTAGCCGCCTCGCCTCCTCGTCACCACCTGCTGCATCGCCTCCTCACTGCCCTCGCCTCCACCGCCGCCTCGTCGTCTTCAGCGACGAAGTTGGCTGTCCTTCCATTCTCCCCACTCTCCTCCCTGTCCGCCTCTCTAATTAGCGTCTCCCTTGTCCCACTCTCTCCCCTTCTGCGCCCGTCTCTCCCCCGTACCCTCCTCTTTCCCCTTGTCCTCTCCCCACTGCCCTCCCTTCTCCCCCCTGTCTCCCGCTCTCTCCCCCTGTCCTCTCCTCCCTATCCTCCGCTCTCCCCCCTTGTCCTCTCCGCCCACTGCCTGACGCTTGAGAATTCTCGCCGGTACCACACACTCACACCGCAGCTAGAAACTCACGTCCCACTCATTGCGTTCTCCATGCCCGTTGACACCTCTCAAGACCACAGAGTTTTCCATAGAGTCACTGACTTCCCACGAGCACCCTCTCCCGCTCGGAAGTAAGGTACGCACGAATGGGGACACCGCGGCGACCTCCTTCGCTGTCATCGATGTTAATAGCCACTCCCACCACTGTTCTGGAGCCGCGTAGAACGCCCTGAGTGCCATAGCCGCTTCCTTCTTGCAGCCCAGCTCCCGGGTAATCACCTCTGCCGATTTAACCGCGTATGTGCCGTCCCACTTCCAAACCACCATATCGCGCATCTTCCACATCCGCCGCTTTGAAGTGTACTTCTGACCGCCGAAGGGCGCCTTCCCTTTGTGAAAAATCTTTGTGTTGGTGCACAGATAATCTTCCTCTACCTCCCACCGCGACTCAGCCTCTGGTACCTGCAGACCGACAACTTCAGCACCACCTTGCACAGCTTCGCCCACCTCCTACTCTTAATCATCCCCCCTTTGAGCACCGCCTTGTGCGCGTACAGCGTCGCCCACCCGAGCACCAATTCTGTCACGCTTTCAGTCACCCCGCGCCTAACCGGACACCCCTGCATCAGTGCCAACCCCATGCATCTCAACACCACACTGTCGATCCTTCCTTTCGGATCTATCACACCCAAGCCTCCTTGCTCTCTCGGCGCGTACATCAGGTCTCCGCTCCAGAGCCGGAAGTGCTTCTCCGTGTCCACATAATTAGCTGAAATGAAATCTTCCACTAGAGTCTCCACCCTCTTCCACAGCAGGTCATCAGGCGGGTACACCCACGCCTGGAATAGGAACACATGCAGCACGTAACTATTGATCATCGTCACCCTCGCCCCTGTCGTGAGATACTTTGTTTGCCACTTGCTTAACACACTCGCCGCCCTGTCGAAGGCCTTTTCCCAGGTAGTTCGTGCACTCCCACCTAGGGTCACCCACACGCCAAGCAACCTTTCTGCTTCGTCTTTGCCGACCCACTTATACACTAACCGCTCCAATGACGGCTTGTCGATGTTCTTCCCCAATGGTAGGATCGCGGACTTCCCGATGTTGGCTTTCAGCCCCGACATCACTGCAAACTCCCGCAACATTTTGTCTGCCTCCTTTAGCTGTTGCTCCCCGTTAAGCAACAAGGTGGTATTATCCGCGTACCCCACATAAGACAGCCTCTCGCATCCTTTTTCCCCGATGCCCAGCTTCCTTTCTCCCGCCATCCTACTCAGTGGCTCCACCGCACACAAGAAAAGGTAAGGCGCTAGAGGACGTCCCTGCCTCACCCCTTTCCGCATTTGGATCTGCTCCCCCGTCCACCCGTTAATGCATAGCCGTGTGTGGACATCACTGTGCAGGGCCTCAATCCAGTTCACGAAACACGGTGGAAAGCCCATGCATGATATCGTCTTCATCATGTACCCCTTGCGCACGGAGTCGTACGCCTTCTCGAAGTCGACCATCATAATACACCAGTCCTTGTTCTTATTTTTTGCCGCATCGATCAAGTCTGCCACCATTGGCACTGCATTCGTGAGTCGCCTCTCGGGTAAGAATCCGTACTGCTCTCTTGAGATGACCTGGTACAGAACCGCTTTTATTCTTGTCGCCACCACTTTCGCTAGTATTTTGTACATGCTTGTCAGCAACGTGATAGGCCTGTAGTTCTTGACGGCAGTCTCCGCTCCCTTCTTGTACAGCAGCATGGTGACTGCCTCGTTCACCACATCCGGCATCTTTCCAGTAGCCACGAACTCCCTCACCATCTTCATCAGTGGCCCCTTCAACACCTCCCAATGGCTATGAAACAACTGCTTCGGTAGACCGTCCCTCCCCAGAGATTTGTCGTTCGCCAACTCTCTGATCGCCTTTTTAACCTCTTCCTCCGTCCAGTCTTTTGCTAACGCCTCTGCAGATGCCTCTTCCAGAATCGCCCTGGGCGCCCACTGCAGCTCAGCCTCTGCATCCGCCAACCCAGGAGTCTTATCAAAGGCCTCCCTGAAGTGCAGTGTTGCCGTTTCCAGGATACACCTTGCGTCCGTATAGCTGACACCATCCTGCACCAACACTTTAATCCCCACTTTGGCCTTCCTACTCTTGACGAGAGCTGACAGGAAGCCTGTCGGTGCCTCCCCACATAGTTGCACCTTGAGCCCCGTACTCGATTCCAGGAAGCTCCTTTGGCCATCCCAGTACCTACGCAGCAACATCTGCCGACTCGCTAGCAGCGCCTGTAAGTTATCATCTCTCGGATTCGCCATCACCCTCTGCTGCAACGACCCCACTTGTTCCTCCAGCGCTTTCCAAAACTCCTGACCCTCTTATTCTCCTCCTTGTCATATTTCCGCATGCGTGTTGCCAGACTCCTTGACAACCTGTCAAAGTCGCTGCTCCCATCATCCTCGTGGCGTTGCACCACCTCCGCAATCGCCGACGCCACCCCTGGTCTCTTAGCCAGCCTCGCCGGGAACCTCCATATCCCGGGGCCGGTCTCTTGCTGACCGCTCCATACCAAACTCATCCGGACCCCGAATTTATGGTCTGTAATTCTGTCCGACAGCCACTGGTGAGACACCTTAGCCACCAGGTGCAACATTGTCTGTGACACAGGTATCCTGACGATTCTCGAGCTGACCATCGCCGATCTACAAAAGAAAGCAAACTCCCTTTCGTCTGGCCACAACTCACGGAAGGCATCCTTGACCAGAAAGTCAGATAGCAATTGCTTCATCCTACTGTTATCCCCTGTCACCCCCTGTTGGTTAGACTTGTCCAAGATAGGATCCTCTATCATATTTAGATCCTCTGCTACCACCGGCTGTTCCCCTCTTGGTAGGAAACTACCCCGTGATGCCGCTTGCGAGGGAAAGTATGCCGCAAGCAGCCTCATCTGCCGAGTCCCCCAACCCAGGCGAGCATGGAGTAGTCTACTAGACGGGTGTCGCTGAACATCCTCCAGCTCCACCCCCTCTCGAAAGCAAAGGATAGCCACCCCTCCTGCTCTGGTCGGGGCCGCAACTGCAGCCACACTGTGAGGCCGAAGTTTCGTCCAGAAATTGTGGTCTGCTGCTATGCGCGTGTCTACCAAGATCGCCTTATCTGTTGTTGTCCTTATCCATCACTTCAGTGTTTGTTGTTTCCCCAAAATCCCCAAATCGTTGACGTTCAGGGTCAATAGCGTTAGTCGGTTGGTGTTACAGCACGACGCGGTGATACTATACTGCGTGAGATACATCATACAGCTACGACGCCAACTCCTAATAATGACTCCTTCCTCTCCTTGCACTGTAAGGATGCCTGCTGTCTCCCCCTCTCCCACAGGTGCAGCTGCTAGACTCACACACCGAACTCCTGCTTCGCCGCAACAAGATTGACACCTGCATTGGAGCTGCGTGACGCAAAACCAGAAACCAAGCCATCGTTGTGCCGCTGGGAGACAACGTGCTCCGCTGCCTGGGCAAAAGAAACACTGTTCGCTTTCTCGCAGCTTTCCTGGACACAAATCCACTCCTCGCAGTTCCCCCCGGTTAAGACCCACACCACGGCAGGGTCCTTCAAAATTAGCCTGGTCAGATCTGTGATCCTGACTGAGGCGGCTGCGCGGAGTTGGCACGCCCATAACGTTAGCACTGCACCACCTCGGAAACGACAAGCAGAAGTAAAACAAGTAAGCGAGAACCAGTTCCCCCCCATTACCATCGATCCCATGGACCCGTCCCAGGGATAGACTCTAGTTGCTGATGTTGTTCTGCCGCTCCAACACATAGTCATCATGATACCTCGTCATGTGATACCCCGAACAGTAGATGCAGTTCAAGGAGGGGTAGTGCACCAGCAGCTGCTTATCATGGGAGGTTGGGTCCTCGATCAGGTGATGCCAGCGGTATTTGTCACCATCATGCTGCTTCACCAGGCCTTTAACCTTGTCTGTGTCCATCCCTGTGACAGGATTCACCACCCGATGAAAGCAGCAACCTTCCTTGAAAGCCGACTGTCCGCGCTTCTCCAGCTTCAGCTTCACCAGCATGACACACAGCATCTCAGGCGTGATCACCGCATCCACACCCTTAAAAAGAACTTTGACCTGCAGCGGGTCCGCAGCACGCGCCTTCACGTAAGCCGGGTCCACCGGGTGCTGGCAGTCCAAGCTAATACGCTTCCCGTCGACGCAGGTATGCACAATCCCGTGTTTCCATACGAAGTTGGCATCACGGGCTCGCTCAAAGGTGACCTGTAGCCTACAGTACTGCTTCTTGTTTAGAAACAACGCCGTCAGCTCCTGAAATTTCATCGTTGCCTAACTCTCCATGTTCAGGTCCTTCCTCCATATGTTATATAGCGCGCACAGCGTTGCCTTCACGCGCGTCGCTTCCGACTTGAAGGCGATCGGGATCAGCAGGTGTTACAATCTGAGGTGGGACTTAGCGAAAGGATCGTTCAGGATTTATCGCAGGTAGTGTCGCAGCGGGAGTAGTGAACTCAGGTCAGAGTGAATGTAAATGACTGAGATTGATGATAGCATGCATACATAGGGTTTATATAGGAAATAGAAAGGAATGCGAAACGTCCTAGACTTGTTAAAGAACGAGGAATGAGTGCATTGAGCAGCATGAGGAGTACAAGTACCAAACCCTAAAGTGTTGTACCCCATGTAAGCTACCCCACTACAGCCTACACAGACTATAGTGTATGAGTTTGACACACCCCCATAGGCAAAGTGGGGGAGAACAAGGGGTCACAAGACCAGTCAAGCAAAGCAAGGCAAAGCAAGCTCAGGGTGGATCACAACGTCACCACACATTCTGAGCACAAGTTCAAGGCCACAAGGCCAGTTCACATGCAAGATTACATATATATAACGCTAAACAAGCAAGAGCAGGTATATATATATGTAACAGTACAAGCAAGGTCAAGAAGTGAGCAAGTGAGGCAAGGTAGGCACAAGACCTAACAGAGTACAGAAGCGCTGATGATCACAAGGCGCGAGTGCCTTAGTGAAGATATCAGCAGTGTTGGCCTGAGAGGCCATGTAAGAAAGGCGCAGCTGGCCACGCTGCTGCAGCTCACGAGCAAGGAAGTAGCGAAGAGCGATGTGCTTCGTTCTGTGCTCCAGTCTGTGCTCCCGACACAAGGCCAGCATGGCCTTGTTGTCTACGTACAGCACTGGAGGAGAACGAGGCGGCTCTCCCAGGTCAGTCAGCAGGTAGGTGAGCCAGCGTAGCTCCTGTGCAGCCATGGCCCCTGCGTAGATCTCAGCCTCACAACTGGAGCCGAGAACAGAAGACGAGCGGGTAGACCGCCACGAAACAGAGCCGGAACCAAGGCTGAAGGTGTAACCCTGTGACGACCGCTGCGTAGCCTGGTCGTCAGCCCAAGAAGCGTCTGCGTGCCCAGTGAGGACCACTAGACTCTGCCCTCCAAGCACAAGCCCCATGCCTGATGTACTGCACAAGTAGCGTAACACCCTCTTCGCTGCAGCCATGTGCTCTGGTCTGTGTCTCCCAGGAGCAACATAGCGTGCCAGAATGCTAAGAGGGTATGCAAGGTCAGGTCGAGTGCAGGTCATCGGGTACATGAGGCAGCCAACAAGCTCTGGGTACGGGCCATTCGACTCTACGGACTCATCCAAAGGCAGAGCTGAGAGCGAGTGGCGTGTAGACAGAGGAGTGGCCTGAGGCGAGGAGTACGTGAAGCCGAAGCGCTGAAGGACCTGCTGCACCATGTGTGACTGAGTCAGGGTAATGGTGCGCTGTGCTCTGTCCCGGGTGATCTGCAAGCCAAGGTAGCTGCGCAGTTCACCCAGGTCTGTGCACGTGTGTCTCTTCTGCAGCTCGGACTTCACGTAGGCGAGTCCAGCAGTGTCAGCTGTAGCAAAGACCAGGTCGTCGACGTACACGAGGATGTAGAACGGCGGCAAAGAAGTGTCGGTGCGCAGAAACAGCGACGGGTCGGCAGTAGAAGGAGCAAACCCAAGAGCCGCAAGTGTAGTCCTCAGTGTGTCGTGCCACTCACGAGGTGCCTGGCGGAGACCGTAGACTGGCCGCCGGAGGCTCCACTGGGTGCCAGGAGGAAAAGTCCCAGTGAAGCCAGGTGGGCAGCGCAGCCAGATCTCCTCGTGCAGGCTGCCCTGCAGGAAAGCAGTGCTGAAGTCAAGAGAGTGCAGCTCGTAGTCTCGGTGAGCGGCTATGTGCAGCAGTACCCGAAGAGTGGTCATCTTCGGGGTGGGAGAGAAGGTCTGAAAGTAGTCAACTCCCTGCCGCTGACTGAAGCCACGAGCCACGTAACGCGCCTTGAAGACAGGCGGAGAATCCGGCGGCCGCTTCACCCTGAAGATCCACATGCCACTGACGATGTTCGCCCCAGGCGGGGGAACCTCGTCAACGTAGGTGCCTGTGGACTTCGAGGAAGCCATCTCTGCGTCCATGGCTGCCTGCCACTGAGAGGAGTAGGGACCCTCTATCGCCTCCGCGTAAGAGCGCGGAGTCGGGATGTCAAGTGCATCCGGGTCTCCCTCAGGGGCAAGCAGCATGGACACGAGATGAGGTGAAGCAGCAGCCAAGCACTGGAACTCCTCCTGCCTGTCCTCAAGGACGTCCGTGCTAAGAGCACACTCACCCCCGACGGACGGAGGACAGACAGACTCAGACTCAGCGACGAGACTGGCAGCGTAGTCTAGGCGACAGCGAGCAGCGAAGTCGACAAGCTCAGCAACTAGGGCAGACGCAGCAGTAGACTCAAAGGAAGGGTCAGTGACAACAGTAGCAAGAAGACGCGTGACAGTAGGACGCGCAGCACGAAGGGAGTCCGACTCCGGGTCAAGAAGTGAAGGAAGAGAGGACGCAGGAGGAGAAGGCAAAGGGGCACGCAGCGGAGCAGTGGAAGGACGCAGAGACATCCGGTGCGTGCCGGGGACAGGGGGAGGACGCTGACGCGAACCACTGCCACTAGTGTGAGCAGCACGGACAGGCGACGCAGGGCGAGACGCAGGCTCACGACGCTCAGCAAGACCTCCAGTAGGACCAGTGTAGGGAGAAGGAGAAGGAAGCGGGGAGGCTGGCTGTAACTGTGACTCAGACTGGACAGGAGGCGGACACTCTAAGCCAGGAGCAGGACCAAGAGAGGACGGAAGACCAAGAACCTGCTCAAGGAGCGGAACGAAGTACGGCCGTGGCCGCGCAGCGCCACCAGTACCAGCAGGAACAGCACCAGCACCCCCAACGGCAGCACCAGCACCAGGAGTACCCCCAGCTCCAGCAGCGCC